ATAACGAACAAAAAGGACAAAAGAACTATCTAGATAGGGGATTCAATACAGTGACATTTCATACTGTTACCAGTTTTGTTGCTTTCAATATAAGATGAAATTATATTCAACATATTAATACACCTTGGATTTTTGGTTCTCTTCATAGGTTGCAATACGAAAGTCTTTTTGATACTACATTTAAAATGCAGAAAGAATTTGACAAAGAATTACATCTTTACCTTTCTGAAATTCTTGAATTATTATATGAAGAAAAATTACCTATGACTAATGAGATTGATGTCCTTGCGAATAAAATAGGTAGTGCTTCAAATCGAAATCGATTACAGCTGTTTTCATCAATTCTGGGATACCTAAAAAAATTTGCCAATGATAATTTCTGCCAAATTCAATAAATTATTGATTTTGATGTTCTTCGTGTTACAACATATAATATACATTGGTTATAAAAAATTAGTACATACATACACAGAAATGCATGTATCACTGTGTATGAAATTAGTTATGTAATTCAAGAAAATTAAAATGAAAAAAATTTTAACTACAATCATATGTAATTATAAAGGTAAGTATACATTACTACATGTGTGTGCAATTAGTTTTGTCCTCAAGATTCCGTGCACACATGCACTGGTTTTTATAACCCAAAGAACACCGAAATCAATAACTTATCGAATTTGGTCAAGATTATTATCAGCAGGTTTTTTAGATATTCTAGAATTAATGAAAACAGCTGTAATCGTTTGTTGATCAAGTTGGCAAGTAGGGATGGGCTTTGTTGGTTATGGGTATTTATTGGTGATAATCATTATAATCGATTTACTAAATTTTATTAAATTCTACCCATACTGTTCTATAAGCAAAAAGCACAATACCTCCTTCAAAATTTAGAAATTTAAAATTTAATATCAGTAATAACTGGTTAAACCGATCAGTTAGTGACTGGTAAATGATGTATTAAGATTAAAATTTTTGGATTTTAGAGAAGGTATTTTGCTTTTTATCTATAAGATAGTATGAGCAAAATTTGAACAACTTTAATTAATAGCTTATAAAGAAAAAATCATTTCAAAATTTAGAAAATTTAGTAAAATCAATTGTGAACAATTATAATTGAACTCATTCCATTGGCAACTAAACAATTGATAATTTTATTAACCACTAATCGATTGATAATAATTAATCAATTAATTGATTAATTGATTAGTTGTTTTTAATATAAAAATATCAAACATTATAATTAGAGATTTTAGCTAGAATTCAAATTGATATATTCAATTACCAGTAGTCAATTAATCGATTAATTAACTAATCAATTAATTGATATTAATCAATTAATCAATTAGTTAACAATAATCAATTTTTAATCGATTTTTAAAAAATCTTTGGCAACTAATTGATTTATTTTTTGGTTCTATTTGGAACACTAAATATAGGTTCGAATAGTCATTGCAGAAAAGAATGCCTTGGCTGTAAAAAAAAAGATATCAACAATCGAAAACAAGTTTGTCCGGATTGCAAATCTTGTCTACCCATATTAACAGAAATGTCAAAACAACCTGCTGAATTGGAGGATAATAAAGTGGATCAGTCAATTGTTTTTAAGTCATTTAATATTGAAAAAGAAACCTACTAATCTATTATACCAAGAATTAGCATCACTCAAAAAACACGTGCTGATAAAGGGGTTAATGTTCTGGAAATATTTATTCCTAATCCCCTTGATGTTAATCCTAATACTACTGAAAATATTGAAAAAATTTTTTTTCATATTGAAAATATTTCAGAAATTAAAGATGGAATATATAAGTGGATAGTTGTAACATGTGATGGCATTCTGTATCATCATGCATCAAAAATATGAGAGAAATATCTGTAGCTGATTCTTATACCTGGGCAATTACATGAAGAAATAAATATGCTTCAGGCATATGTCGAATTAAATTAGTAATTTATGTTGTATAACTATTTTAATTTTTTGTTTATATAACTTTTTAATTAAATAGGAATATCGATCTCAAGCAATTCGCAATATGTCAGGGATATAAGACCAATAATTAACTTGTTTATTTCAAAAAATGCTATGACCATCATAAGTCATAGGATTTAGTCTGTAATATTTATCATCAAGCCATGGCTATAGAACTAATGTGGCCATATATTAAAAGCCATTTTAATTTATCGGTTAAGAAATACTTAGCCTGGGCAAAAGAGCAAAATGATATGCATTTCCAAATAAAATTTGAACAGGTAAATTTTTAGTTAAATTTTTAGTTTTAATCTTTTTTTCAATATACTAATTGGTCAAAATTAAAAATATGTGCGATAGTGCACTTTAATATAATTTAATCATGTGATTTTGCAGACATTAATGATTCGCGAAATCGCATGATAGTATCAAATAATATTTAAAATTTTTCTAATATTATAATAACTAAATCAATTTGTGTTAAATAGATATTTAGATATCTGCAAGCTATAATCAATTATAGGAAAGCTATTTGGGAAAATAATCCATTGTTGAAGAGTGCTGCGAGGAGAGTTTTTTCTCCAGTATGGTCAGCACATCGTCATCTGATCTATTATTCAATAGAAGTCACAGACAAAATACAGATAATGCGACTTAATCCAGCTATACGGAATGTTATAGAAAGGAGTTGTATAGTTTCTCAGTCTGGACTTTAAATCAGTATTAGGAATTAAATGCAATTCTTAAAGAAATAAATAAAGCTCTGAAAACGTTAATACCTCCTATTTCACAAATACACTACTAGGAACTTGATATAAGAAATTGCAAAAAATTTATTCAAGTACAGAATTTTTTTGATGAGCAAATATTTATTTTTCAAATTTCATGTGCATTATTCGTATAACATGCATACAGTTATGCGCATTACAGCATTAATCTTAGTTAACTTTGGAATATAAATTTCAGATTTTTGTAATTTAGCTATGAAACAATTTCTTTCAATTGATTGGATATAATGATTCCAAACAGCTGGTCCAAGATCCCATCCAAAAGTGATTGCAGAATGTCAAAGATTTCGAGCTCATCTAAGAAAAGATAATTTTGTTAATCTGATGATTGGTGCAAGAACTATTCATAAAAGCTTAGAAGAGGAATATGAATTAAGTGCAGAGTTGATAATTTTACTAATTTAGCAAAACAAGCCTGACAAGATTATATTATTAATGTTTTTTATAATAATAATTCAGCTTCTTTATTTAGGGTGATTCCAATTACTAAAAAAGAAGCAGATAAACAAAAAATGAAGCAACTATGTCTAAAGATAAAATTTTTTCTAAAATACAAGCTTTTCTTGAATAGACAGATGAAAATATTCAGAAACATTATTGTGGAATAAAATCCAAAAAGCATAGTGAATTATTAGTCATTTTAGAAGAAGTAAGATCTTTGTTTTATTCTAATTATGAACTTAATGATCATGATTGTACTGAAAACTTAGGGACAGCAGAAGAATAAATTAAATCATTCTAATCTTAGTGTTTTGTTTCAAGTTGATCATTATTATAGTATTATTACATTGGAGTTACATATCAATTCTGGGGGTTTTTTCTTTATAAAATTGTTTTTTATTATTCAATTATAAAATTATTTTAATTTTACAATAAAAATTCTCAATTTGAACATTATATAATGCAGTCTTGAATTTTTTAAAAATGTTTTTTTTGTGCCAGTTCAAATATTAGCCTGAGTATGCTATTGCTGTATTGTATGAATTAAAATATTTTATGTAAATAAATTGAAAAAATTCATTTTCATTTAATATTCATGAATAAAAACTTTTATATATATCTGGAAGTTTACACCATCAGTTCAATCAACTTTTAGGATATTGAAGCTTCTGAATTCTCAAGTTTACTTTTGGCGATCTTGTAGGAGAAACTATTTAAAAAACACATGTGTTAAACTCAATTTGCAACTTTACTTCTGGTGAAAAGCTTGTTAAGAAAAGGTATGTGCTAAAATTTCAAGATGTGAAACTTTACTCACAGCGATCTTGTAGAGAAAGTCTTGAACTTAAAATCATTGAACCTGGTCAGCTTTTTTTTTTTTAATGATACTAACCAATTAGATAATAGATATTATGCAAGATATAGAAATCTCCAGAATTTGTTGATCAATGTTTATATTTCCATAAAAGGTGCAATTAGCATTGTTCATTTTTGGTAAAATCCCTAACTGTACTTTAAAAACTTTTACTTAATTCGATTGTTTTAATTTTATATTACATCTGATCCTTCGATATAATTGGCTAAAATTTTGATTTTACGTTACATCTGATCCTTCGATGTAATTGGCTAAAAATCACATACTAGAAAAAATCTTGTGGCCACAAACCTGGTACACATTTTCCAAATGCTATATGCCTAACCATTGAGTTTGTAGGGTTTGGACCAATATTCTGTGCAATTCTTCTATGTGTGCCAGATGTAGATAACAAAGTGATGGCAAAAAAAATTTGCAGTCAGGTGATCTCCGGTTTTTCCGAACCCTTTCGATCTCAATCCATAATTTATGCATAAGCCCAAATATCAAATATATACTGTTATTAACTAATACATTATCATTATATAGTGATATAAATTAAAAATTAATATTTATAGCAAAATTAAGTTAATAAATCGATATAGCGAAGTGTATATATGTAAAGGTGAAATTTTTTATATTCGTATTTATTGATAGAGACAAAATTAAATTATTCAATATAGCAATATGTTATGAAAAACTTTAATAGTAGTAAATTAAATTATTTCGAATTTATATAATTAATCGATATTAAAGATGAAATAAATTCATATGTAATATATCATTGTTATTAAATAAATTTTTTTTCTGAATTATATTTATTAAATTTGCCATCTTATTATATAATGAACTCTTAGCATAAGCAACAAGTAGCTTTTTTAACTTTCAACATGGTCCTATTAAAAGAATTTGTTTCTAGTATATAAATTAACAAAATTTTCTTAAAGAAATGTCTAATCTAAGCATTACAGTTCACAACACTAATGAAGAAACTAAATCTTGCACCTGCTATAATAAGACCAAATTAGTTGCTAAATTCGAGAAGACAAGTGGAAAGAAAACTAAAATCTTTATTAGATGTAATTCATGTGCCCAAACTGAAAGGCAAAAAAAAAAAGCTAAAAAGCACAGACTCAAATCTTCTAATAATAAAACTATAAAATTTATTTCCTCAAGTATTGAAAACATGCCATCCCTTCATTTAGATATTAATAATTAATTGTCTCTTTATTTAAATGCTAAATGTACATCATCTTCTTCTTGGACTATAGAAAATACAGAAAGTACATCATCCCCTCCTCAGACCATAGAAAATATATTATCCCTTCTTTTAAAAACCACAAATATAACATATCTTCTCTTAGATGATGAAATATCTTTTAACGTTGATGATAATGAAAGTGATGGGAGTGAATTTATTTATGATATGCATAATCTTGAAGAGGCTGTATTCTCTAAATTTAGAAATGAAGAAATAGATGATCTGGTAAAATTCTCAATAACAATAAAAATTGAAGAAGACTTGGTTAATGAAGAAAATTTATTTCTGAAACTTGATCAGCAAATAAAAGATAAATTTCATACTATCATTAAAGTATTTCTCATACCTCTTCAAAAAGGATCAGGGTACTACTGGGAGCTTTGAAATCTATACCTTAATATGAAAAATGGCCAGTATATAGGGTATGCAACAGCCTGTCTTGGCTGTACACAAAGAACTAATTGTGAATATAAACGCTCAGATAACTAACCTATAAAAAATATAAGTAAAGCTTGACCTCCAATTGAGCATTTCTTATATAATAGAGTTATAACAATCAAAATAGATTTATGTAAACAGCTGGTAATAATTTCTGTATATCATCTAGCACATAAATGTCCTACTTACCGAGAATCAAATTTACCTATAGGTAAAATATAATATATAGTAACTTTTAGTAATACTATATACAATGACTTTTATTGTTTTAATTAGATTTAGAACAAACCTAACAATTCAAATTTTTTTTAAAAAAATAAAATAAATTACATATATATGCATTTTATAATACTTTTTTTTTTTTTTTACCTTTATATTTATAGATGCTATAGCATAGTTAAAGCAAAATATAAATAAAAATTGGCAAAAAATAGATGTTTATAAACATCTTTATGATGAAAACTAATCAATCCATCATTACATACATACCAGCAAATATATTATTGGATGCATAAACTTTCAAGAATGCGGTATATCACAAATTTTGCAAATCAAGTAAAATTAGCAAAAAATTTTCTAGAACAGTAGGAGTTAGTAAACAAAGGATATAAGGTGGTTCAATATAGAGAAAATGACTTCGTGCGCTCACTTGGATTTGTTACATTATTCTTTCAAGATCTACAAAACTTATGAGAAGATATCACTGAAGTTATTATTGATTCAATATTCAAAACAAATTAGGAACATTTTGAACTCTTTGTGGTAAGACATTTATATTTTGACTTATATAAAAATAGTAGTTTTCATACTTGCCTATTATATAGTTACCCAAAACAAATAATAGCTTACCCAGATACTGGATAACTTAATAATATCTGAGTGAAGATATTTTTAACAGGTTCAATTTCTAATCTAAACTACTACAATTCTATATTTGCTAACAAAGTAGCTTTGTTAGCAGATATAGAATTGTAGCAGTTTAGATAATACACTTGCAAAAATAATTTTAGTAATTAGTAACTTATAATTTTACAATTAGGTAAATGCTAATTGTGGTAGATATAGCCTTCCTCTTGTGTATTTATATCTAGACATGTTTTCAGCATCAGAAGACCTACTTTTAAATCCCAATAATGAAGTATACAACTGAGTTGGTGTACTCAAAGAATTTTTTACTAGCTTGTATAATGAAGGAATTCTA